GGATGAGTTGTCATTTGGAGGAATTTCTAAGAAGACTGACCACAGTTCAAAGTTTTCTCCATTTGGAGATAATGGCTCTCACTTTAGTTCACTGGAGTCCCAGAGCCTTAGACATGGCTTTGTAACATTGTTGCAGGAGTTATATTTAAGTGGTGTTTAGATTCAACAGGGCTGGGAGTAATCAAGCCTGGGGGTGTCTATTTTTATATCAAGTAAATATCATTAATTGACTTAATGAGTAACTCAGTGGGCAATTTCTTTTTCACATAGAGCCAGTTGGTGTTGGATGACTGTTTTCACTCAATAAATGAAATCATTTAAAAGTTTTACAGTTAATCATGTTCCCCTTTTTTATGTTACTTTTTGTCTGATTATCTAAAACTGTTTAGTGTGACAAATATTCAAAATTGAGGAAATGAGAAAATACTTTTCCACAGCTCTGTACATATGTAAATGTTTTGTGTTGATATTATACTGATAGCCAATACATATTAAACTAAACACTCCAACAGAGCTGAGGTGCAACAAAGTAGTGAAATATAGCTAATGGAATGAATGTACTTTAGAGATCTGTCCAGTATCAGACTGTAAAAATGGTGTTTCACATAATGTTGAAAAGAAAGTAACATGCCTGCATTTTTGATTGTGCTGAATCTCAAACTGTGAGTTAACAGATCAGTTCTTTATTTCTTAGATCCTGTTAGCCTTTTAATAGAAATGTAGTAAAGTCTCAGTTTTAGGGCTGCAATGTTAATGTAGGTTAAAACTAATCATTCTACAGTGAATTGAGGAGCGCATCACCCACGTTTCTAATGATTTACCTTTTTTAGCTTAATTTGTACAAATATGTTAAAGATTTACTACACAGCTTTATCAGAGAGTCTAATGGATTCTTTATATGGTGGTCATCTGTAATTTGTAAATGAGTGAGGGTTATGTTCAGTTTCTGATCTTATTAGGTGTCACGCATCCATCTGGCTCTGAGACACACTCAGACTCCATCTCCCAGAATCCTCTGGGAGATCCCCTGACTCCTGACCTTCCCTCTCGTTGCAATCAGCGCTCTCACTCACCGGAGTGCTGATTCTGTTCACCTGTTTTGTGTGTCATATGATCCTCTTAGTTTAGTTTATAAGCTTTAGCAGAGACAGTTTGTGAGGTATTGTATCACTTTTGATCTACTGAGTGTTCCTTTTTGTTTGACTCCTGTTTTTGACCATCATTGTCTGTTTTCTCGATTCTATCTCTTTGCCTGACCCTTTGGATTTTGCCTTTCATGATGTCACTGTTTACGACCTTTTTGCCTATTTTCTTGAATCTGCCTTTTAGCCTGACCCTTTGGATTGTTCACCTGTTGTTATGTTTGTCTTTTTGTACTGGTTGCGTTTTCTGGATTTGATCCACGCTTTTTTTTTTGACCACGAAACTGGACTTTGATTTTATCAGTAAAGCCTCCTTTGATCTTTTTAACTATGAGTGTCTGACTCTTTCTGGCACGTTACATTAGGATATTTTACCTAATTGCTCCATTTACTCTGCTGCTGAGATGCTGTAAACAGACATTATTCACATTGTGAAGCTGTCAGCATGTTAAATGTCTGTCCTGTGCAGCTATTATTAAGTAGAACATAAATGCAGAACAGTAATTTAAAAAAATAGGACAGTGACGTGGAGAACACATCACTGAAGCTCTAACAGACCTTCAGCACCTCCATTGATTCTCAACCATATTAGGATTTGGGTGAGGATTAGTATCAGGTAGGGCTGGGCAATAAAACGATAACGATAATTATCGCGATATAACTTTTCCTCAATAGAGCGATACAACATGTTTGATAAATGTTTGATATAATACACCATTCTCACACTTCCACGTTCAGCGAAAGCCTTGGTGGCATTTTATACTGCAAGGAAAGCGACACTACTCTGCTGTCACCAGGAGAGGGTGCACTTCCGAGTTTTTCTACATGATTAGAGAGGGAGGGGGCCACGAGTAACATGAGTCTTTAGCAACAGCTGAAACGCGGAGTTATACATTCCCTGTTTGAGTGGAGCGACCGGCGATCTGTTCTCCTGTGACCTAATGTGAGTGACGAGGTCAGTGGTGTAACTATACTGTCCTACAGCAAACTCACCTCTTTCCGTACATCCTAACCAGCTTTAGCAGCGTTAAATCACAATTACAATCCTCACAACTACAGCGCTCAGTCATATTTTAATATTAGTGCATTCACAAGCAACGAAAGTGAAAGAAAGAAGTGGGTTCATGTAAATTGCAGCCCTGATTTAAATGAAAGTAAACTGAGGAAGCTGTGAGGCATTGGAAAGCAGGAGAGCGCTAGCTTTCCAGGCTAGCTGTTTTTAGCAGCTCCGTCACTCACAGCATGGAGAACTGATGATACTGTAGATCAAACATGACACAAAAGCACCGCTTTCAGTTTAAACGTCCCTAAAGGAGGACTCCGTTTGTCTGGTGTTGATATTTTGCGGTTCACCACTTAAACTGCTACGATGGTATAGAGAAATCCACTCATCGCTAGCTGGTGTCTGAATACTGTGATGTCGTTTGTAGCGGGGTAGCCAAGCGCTCGTCACCAGCTAGTTTTCTTTCTTAAATTATGACTATTACAAAATTAGCCATGCTTTTCCAGCTGGTAAAAACAGCTCACCAGACACTTTCTCCCACTCTCCTATGACAGATTTGTGAAATGTTGCACTGGTTGGTGAGTGTTTGTCGTGGTCCAACCATAAAGGATAGTTTAAAACAGTAATTAACCACCCAGGAGCAAAAATCAGCCTTCAAACTTGAAAAAAATAATGATTTGACATTTATCGCGGCATGTATCGATATCGAACGATATGAATTTTGTTTATCGTGATAACATTTTTGGCCATATCACCCCGTTCTAGTATCAGGGTTAAGTTCATCACCAGGGTGAGAGTTAGTTTTAGGCTATGGGATGATATTATGGTTAGGTTTAGGGTCAGGGTCAGTTTTACGTAGATTAAGGTGAATTTAATAAATATTTAATTGAATGTAAATTAAATGAAAGGTAAGCATCTACAAGGGATCTAAAGTGGACTCTCCAAATAAAGTGTTACCTAATAATAAAATTAAATTGATAAGTAAAAGAGCCAACATCATATCAATAGTTGCAGGCTGAGTGCAGATGGTTAGAGTTAAAAGTTTAAAATGATGAAGTGACACAAAGCGAGTGAGTTTTCTGGAATGTATTGCAGTTCACTGGTGCACAGAAACTAAAAGCAGATTTTCTCAGCTCAGCAAGAAAGTATATGACAGGTGATCCAGTCACAAGAGCTGAACAGTTTCTGCAATTCCTGAGGAGCTGAATAAACCCCGTCACATGTAAATCATTTAGTGCCCCCTGTGGCAGCCCCTGAAAAATGTTATTAGGCCAGGCCTGTTCAGTTTTTATTGTGATCAAAAGTCACAATAAATAAAATTTGTTTTCATGTTTTTCAAGACATTTCAGTACAAAACTATGTACATATCCAGGGCCTCCCAAAAAAAACACTCACATCAGACAGTCTACCTTGATGAGTAGGGAAAGTACAGGATATATGATCCATACATTTCTATCAAAGCTGACAGCCTACAGACATTGGAGCACAGTATTCTCAAATATCTCAGAAATCCACAAGCCTCTATATGTCCATATGCCACACCCTATATCTCACAACATAAAGAGTTTGAACTTTAGGCCTGATCATATTTTGTAATATATATATATATATATATATATATATATATATATATGCGATTAGGCTATGAGTTTGTAAGAGCGACACAGTGGATTATCTTTGGTTTGCTGTTCCAACCTAAACCGATTTCTTATTTCTTCCACAACTCAAAACTAAACAGTGAAAGTAAGCAGTGACACCAACTGCGTCAGTAGGTTTCTTCCATCAGTTAAAAGTTTCTTCCAAACAGTTACCACTGTTTCAATGTACTTCTCCTCCCTATTTGCTCCCTCAGTATCTCTATTTAAACCATGTCAGACTGTGGGTTCATTAGACTGGTGACAGACTGATGATCAAGCTGTGTCTGTGAATGATTCTCTGCAAACATATGAATAAAACTCAAGATCTGAATATCCAGTCTTCTGACTCTTCCTGCAGAATTTCTAACACTATGTGCTAAAGCTGCTAGACTCACCACAATACTGCAATAGCAGCACACTGACCATGCTGTTGAGATTTTTTTTTTTTTGAAAAACACTGTGCAGGGCTTGTGGTACAAAACTTCTCAATATAAAATATTTTTATGTCCCACTTCATGTGGGAGGTATAGTTCCCACTTCAAATATTTCAACACCTTGTAAAAATATTCTGGGACCTCCCCTCCAAGAGATTTTTGAGGAAAATCTTGTACCTTGTAAAAAAGAAATGAAATATCAAGTAAAATACAATTAAAATATTGTAAGACTGTTTCAACAAAGTGGGTTTAAATACTTTGTGAATTATTTCGTTAGAAAATTTATTTCTTTTCTTTTGCTATCAAGATGTCATCAAATCTTTTTCCTCTAATTTTAAGACGTTATTATCAAACCATGGAGATATTTAAATTTACTTAAGTTTAGAAGTGGAGCAGGCATAAATTTCAGTGCAAAAACATTTTACTATACAGCTAAATTTTGTGTTGTTTCATGTAGTCTGTGATCATTACTTACTATCACAGCATATGCTAAATACTAACCACTGCATTGATGTTTTTGTAACTACAATGAGCTTAATAGAAACAAGAAAACTGACAAAACAACTGAATATAAAAGCATAGTGTTGATTTTGTACTGGTGGTTAGTCTAGTTTATTACAACAGACTCAAAAAAAGATTTCATTAAATGAGAAAGAAGATGACATGACAACTCACTACACATTCATTACAGGAATCAGGACAGAGAGACAGACAACAGAAAAAAATGATGTTTTGCCAGGTCATTAATTCTTTCCATACAGGACTGAATTCACAGAAAACTCACCTGAGAGTCTCCAGTTTACAGAATGAACTCCTCAGTCCAGCAGAGAGCAGTTCCACTCCTGAATCCTGCAAGTCATTGTTGCTGAGGTCCAGCTCTCTCAGGGAGGAGTTTGGTGATTGTAGAGCGGATCCCAGATTTTCACAAGCTTTCGCACCGAGACTACAGATATGTAGTCTGCAAACAGGAATTATAATGTACTCAAAGAAGGATTCATAAATAACAAAAAAACATATCATATTGTTTAGATAACATACAATATTTTATTTGTGTATTTTTATGTTCCAGTCTGGGTTCAAATATCCTAAAGAATTCTGTTTGTATTTTATGTTTACATTTTATAGTGCCTTATCAGCTTATTTCTATTCAAGAATTATTCACAGGAAGTTTGCCAGAGCAATAGAAAGGATTCCCTTGCTCTCCATATTCTACTTTGACTTTACTTTCAGAAATAAATACACAAGATGTTCCTAGCTTGATTATTCATCTGTGTGATCCCATTTAAAACAGAAAACACAACTACTGTTTTTTCTCTCTAAGTAGAAGTTCCTGTTTAGGACCATAAAAAGTTAACTGCCACAAAATGTCAGCCAATATATGATATGATTAAACTTAGAACAGATCTTGCAATATACGGAAAGACTCTTTTCTGAAAAGATTAAGAGAAAAAGAATACCATGTTTTCTCAACAGCACATTATACTTTTAGTATGTTTTTATATTTCAGGGATGGCTAGAGAAAGATATTCAGTACAAGTCTAAAACCATGTGAAATGAATACTATTATAGCCTGTCAATTTTGTATTAAAATTGAATTCACACAAAGTTCACCTGAGTATCTCCAGTTTACAGTGCGAGTTCTTCAGTCCAGCAGAGAGCAGCTCCACTCCTGAATCCTGAAGGTCATTGTTACTGAGGTCTACCTCTTTCAGAGATAAGTTTACAGATTGTAGAGCTGATGATAGATTCTCACAGGAATTTGTGGTGAGACCACACCCAGCTAGTCTGTAAAAGCCAGAATATAGTACATGGTGTAATGAGGGGAACTGTAATAGAATTACTTTACTCTCCATTTTCTACTTTGTCTTTACTTTCAGAAATAAGAACACAAGATATCGAGATATTCATAGGTTGATTATTCATCCATGTGATCCCATTTAAAACAGAAAGCACAGCTATTGTTTTTTCTAAGTAGAACTTCCTGTTTAGGACCATAAAAAGTTAACTGCCACAACAATCCAGCCAATATATGATATAATTAAACTTAGAACAGATCTTGCAATTTACTGAAAGAACCATTTCTGAAAAGACAGAGAAAAAAGAATAATATGGGTTTTTTTTCCAGCAGTACTCTATACTTTGTGTGTTTTTATATTTCAGGGATGGCTAGAGAAAGATGTTCAGTACGAGTCTAAAACCATGTGAAATCAATATTATTACAGCCTGTCAATTTTGTATTAAAATTGAATTCACACAAAGCTCACCTGAGTATCTCCAGTTTACAGTGCGAGTGCTTCAGTCCAGCAGAGAGCAGCTCCACTCCTGAATCCTGAAGGTCATTGTTACTGAGGTCTACCTCTTTCAGAGATAAGTTTACAGATTGTAGAGCTGATGATAGATTCTCACAGGAATTTGTGGTGAGACCACACCCAGCTAGTCTGTAAAAGCCAGAATATAGTACATGGTGTAATGAGGGGAACTGTAATAGAATTACTTTACTCTCCATTTTCTACTTTGTCTTTACTTTCAGAAATAAGAACACAAGATATCAAGATATTCATAGGTTGATTATTCATCCATGTGATCCCATTTAAAACAGAAAGCACAGCTATTGTTTTTTCTAAGTAGAACTTCCTGTTTAGGACCATAAAAAGTTAACTGCCACAACAATCCAGCCAATATATGATATAATTAAACTTAGAACAGATCTTGCAATTTACTGAAAGAACCATTTCTGAAAAGACAGAGAAAAAAGAATAATATGGGTTTTTTTTCAGCAGTACTCTATACTTTGTGTGTTTTTATATTTCAGGGATGGCTAGAGAAAGATGTTCAGTACAAGTCTAAAACCATGTGAAATCAATATTATTACAGCCTGTCAATTTTGTATTAAAATTGAATTCACACAAAGCTCACCTGAGTATCTCCAGTTTACAGTGCGAGTGCTTCAGTCCAGCAGAGAGCAGCTCCACTCCTGAATCCTGAAGGTCATTGTTACTCAGGTCTAGCTCTTTCAGAGACGAGTTCACAGACTGTAAAGCTGATGATAGATTCTCACAGGAACTTGTGGTGAGACGACACCTAGCTAGTCTGTAAAAGCCAGAATAAATATAGTACATGGTGTAATGAGGGAAACTGTAATATAATTACTTTACTCTCCATTTTCTACTTTGTCTTTACTTTCAGAAATAAGAACACAAGATATTCATAGCTTGATTATTCATCCATGTGATCCCATTTAAAACAAAGCACACCTATTGTATTTTCTCTCTAAGTAGAAGTTTCTTTTTAGGACCATAAAAGGTTAACTGCCACAACAATCCAGCCAACAAATGATATAATTAAACTTAGAACAGATCTTGCAATTTACTGAAAGTATCATTTCTGAAAAAAAGACAGAGAAAAAAGAATAATATGTTTTTTTTCAGCAGTACACTATACTTTTAGTGTGTTTTTATATTTCAGAGACGGCTAGAGAAAGATGTTCTGTACAAGTCTAAAACCATGTGAAATCAATTTTATTACAGCCTGTCAATTTTGTATTAAAATTGAATTCACACAAAGCTCACCTGAGCATCTCCAGTTTACAGTGCGAGTGCTTCAGTCCAGCAGAGAGCAGCTCCACTCCTGAATCCTGAAGGTCATTGTTACTCAGGTCTACCTCTTTCAGAGACGAGTTCACAGACTGTAGATCTGATGATAGATTCTCACAGGAACTTGTGGTGAGACGACACCCAGCTAGTCTGTAAAAGCCAGAATAAATATAGTACATGGTGTAATGAGGGAAACTGTAATAGAATTACTTTACTCTGCATTCTACTTTGACTTTACCTTCAGAAATAAGAACAAAAGATATTCATAGCTTGATTATTCATCCATGTGATCCCATTTAAAACAAAAACTCAGCTACTGTTTTTTCTCTCTAAGTAGAAATTCCTGTTTAGTAGCATAAAAAGTTAACTGCCACAAAAATTCAGCCAGCAGATGGTCTAATTAAACTTAGAACAGATCTTGCAAAATACTGAAAGAAGCATTCCTGAGTAGATTAAGAGAAAAAGAATACCAGGTTTTCTCAGCAGCAGCTTATAATTCTAGTGTGTTTATATTTCAAGGATGGGTAGAGAAGAGATTCAGTAGAAGTCTAAAACCATGTAAAATATATATTTAATATTGAGCATGAATCAGAACATACTAGTTCAGCTCTGCAGCCCGGCCACTGGCTGCCACACAACCGCAAAGCATAAAACAGCCAACCCAATGCTTAACACCTGGCAAGACATTCTTTAATTTATTTGTTTATTTAGCTCCAAACATGCATTGGTGATTGTAGAGAGTTCAATTTTTAGTTCATCAGACAACTTCATCAGAGGAGTAAGATGGCGGTGCCCTGTTTGGCTGCGGCTGATACGGCTCGCGATAGTATCAGAGATTTAATGGCTTATAACTCAGAGAATTTGCGCAGTTTCACAGCAAATCTGCGGCGCATACATTTCAAATCAGTATACGACTGTCAAGAGATACTGGATTTAAGAGGATCGAGTAATCTGAGACTCACAGATGCAACCACTCTAGACCTTATACGCAGCCTCGGACTGCTACGTCGGCTACATCAGCGGCCTGTGAAGCAGTGGAGCCTCACACCAGCGGCGGCTGCCAGCGGAGGAGGCAGAGGCGGTGCGACAGAAAGTGTAAGCGCGGATGCTGGGCTGGGCTAACAGCTAAGCTAATGGCTAACCCAGGCAGAACACCGCTTCCCTCTATCCTGCTCGCGAATGTGCGGTCCTTAGAGAACAAATTGGACTATCTGAGGCTAGACTTAACAACTAAATGGGAGGTGAGAGACTGCTGTGCCATAATTTTTACTGAAACATGGCTCAATCCATCAGTGTCGGATGACGGCATTAGCATGGAGGGGCTAACAATATTCCAGTCGGACAGGAGCAGCGCTCTCACTGGTAAAACCCGGGGTGGCGGTGTTTGCATATTCACCAACAACAACTGGTGTAACAACGCAGTGAAAGTCTCGAGTCACTGCTCTTCTGATGTGGAGCTACTGACTGTACAATGTAGACCCTTTTATCTGCCCAGGGAGTTCACTGTCATTATAATTATAGCAGTGTACATCACCCCCAGCACAGAGAAGCCCTGAATGTTCTCTACCATTGCATCAGTGAACTGCAATCTACACATCCAGAGGAAGTTTTCATTGTGGCAGGAGACTTCAATCAGGCCAATATGAAAACTGTGCTTCCTCACTTCCATCAGTATGTGAATTTTGCCACCAGAGGAAAAAACACACTAGATCTGGCTTACAGCAACATCAAAGAGGCATTCAGGGCAGCACCCCGCCCCCACCTTGGCTCCTGAGACCATCTCTCTGTGATGCTAATTCCTGCATACAAGCCCCTGCTGATCAGGAAAAAAGCCACCATGAAGCAGGTGAGGGCCTGGCCTGCAGGAGCTATGGAGACAAGACTGCTTTGAATGCACGGACTGGGACATGTTCAAGGCAGCAGCCACCGAAAATCATCACACGCGGGTGGATGAGTATACTGAGTCTGTGTGTGCATACATCCAGAAATGCATGGAGGACGTGAGTGTGATTAAAAACATCTTCACATGGGCCAACGAGAAACCTTGGTTGACCAGCGAGGTACGTGCGAAGCTGAAAGTACAGAATACCGCTTTTAAATCTGGCAATGTGGTGGCACTTAGAACAGCTAGAGCAAACCTGAACCGTGCCATAAGAGTCGCAAAGCATGCTCATGGTCAAAAAGTGAAGGATTTTTTCCAGGATCCCTCGAACACAAGACGAATGTGGCAAGGCATTCAGACAACCACAGACTATAAAGCTACTCCTCCCCCCTGTGAGAACAACATCAACTTCCTCAACGAAATAAATAAATATTTTGGAAGGTTTGAGGTACTGAACACCACTTCTGCAGAAAAATCTACTCCTCGCCCTGACGAGCAGATACTCTGCCTGGATACAGCAGATGTCCGAAGAACCCTGAGGAGAGTGAACTCTCGGAAAGTGGCAGGCCCTGACAACATACCAGGGCGGTTGCTGAAGGAATGTGCTGATCAGCTAGCTGGGGTTCTCACGGACATCTTTAACACCTCACTGAAACAAGCTGTCGTACCATCATGCCTAAAGACTGCCACAATCATACCGGTGCCCAAAAAACCCACAATCTCCTCCCTCAACGATTACCGCCCTGTAGCACTCACCCCCATCATGATGAAGTGTTTCGAGAGGCTGGTAAAGGACCACATCACCTCCAAACTCCCTCCCACATTCGACCCGTACCAGTTTGCTTACCGCCCAAATCGCTCCACAGAGGATGCCATCTCCTCTGCACTTCACCTGAGCTTAGAACATCTGGAAGGAAGAAATACACATGTGCGCATGCTGTTTCTGGACTTTAGCTCAGCGTTTAACACAATCATCCCACAACATCTGATAAGCAAACTGGCCCCCCTTGGCTTCAGCACCCACTTGTGTAACTGGCTGTTGGACTTTCTATCAAATAGACCTCAGTCTGTGCGGGTGGGCAACAACGTCTCCAGTGCCATCTCTTTGAGCACCGGCTCCCCTCAGGGCTGCGTTCTGAGCCCGCTGCTGTTCACCCTGATGACCCACGACTGCTGTGCCAGGACCACTACCAACCACATTGTGAAGTTCGCAGACGACACAACAGTAGTGGGCCTAATCCAGGACGACAATGACCTGGACTACAGAGAGGAGGTGAACCATCTGGTTGACTGGTGCAAAACCAACAACCTGGTCCTGAATGTCGAGAAAACCAAAGAGATCATGGTCGACTTCAGGAGGACCCAACCCAACCACACACCACTCCTCATCAAGGACACAGCAGTGGAGATAGTCAGCAAAATGAAGTTCCTGGGGGTACAGATAACGGACACTTTGACCTGGTCCACTCACACTAAAGCTCTGGTCAAAAGAGCCCAGCAGCGCATGCACTTCCTGAGACGGATGAAAAGAGCACACCTCCCCCCGCCGATTCTCTCCACCTTCTACAGAGGCACTGTAGAGAGCATACTGACCAGCTGCATCACTGTCTGGGCAGGAGCCTGCAGCACCTCTGACTGGAAGTCTCTGCAGAGAGTGTTAAGGACAGCAGAGAGAATTATTGGGACTTCACTTCCTCCCATACAGGACATTCCAACAAGTCGCTGTCTGACCAGAGCTCAGAACATAAACAGAGACCCCTCCCACCCCCACCATGGACTATTCTCGCTGCTAGCCTCTGGAAAGAGGTTCCGAAGTCTTCGAAGCACAACAGCCAGGTTCAAAAACAGCTTCTTCCCACATGCAATAAGACTGCTGAACTATAAATAAATGCTGCTTCAATTCTTTGTTTTAATTACTCCATACCTGGGAGCTACAGTGCAATACACCCTCTTGTATATATACTTCTTTAAAATTTATTTATCTGTTGACATAAATATGTTTACATATGCGCCACACTCTGCACTACATTGCACTTTGCACTACACTGTATTACTTATAATTCTCCCTGATCTACCCTGAGCCTATGCAACGTAATTTCATTCTAATGTGTACTGAACGGTGTAAATTTAAATGACAATAAAGTCTGTCTAAGTCTAAGTCTAAGTCTAACAGCATGTGATTCCACAACACCTCTCCTTTATCTAACTGCTGTGTTTCATACTTCAGACACTGACGTTTGCAATGAGATTACAGTTATGTTTCTGATTACCCTCCTGATGACTCTTTCATGTATATGATGTTTGTGCAACAACACTGTACAGAGGACTAGCATCAACTTTTCCAGCCAAATCTTCCTGTAGGTCCTTGGCAGTGATGTAGCGGTTTTACTCTGAATACCTGACTATTTTTCAGGGTCTTTCCGATCTTGTCTTGACTTTAAATGTTTTTTTCTTAATGGCATTTTCGACAGTGAAAATTACAAATAGGAAGTGTTTAGATATCTTTTTATAATCTTCTCTTGTTGTGTACAAGTCAATTACCTTTAGCTTAAGATCCTCAGGGGTTTAAAGGGCTCTGAATTTAGAATGCTATGGAGTTATCCACACCTCAGGTGCATTAAGGCCTAATGAATCAAATGAGCCCCTACAAAAATTACTCTGGTGGATTCACTAAAAAGCCACATTTTATTTTATTCTCAATATTTTGATTAAGCAAATAAAAGGTAATTGAACATTAAACTGTAAGATGATGCCAAAGTTTGTTCAACCCATATGTTGCAGTAAATTCTTTTCACTTAAGACATGATCAGATTATGTACGCTTATATCTAATTATGTACCCGTCAAAATGTATACTCATCAGAATTTCACCTAATTGGAGAGTTTAGTGTTTTACCAACAGTGAAACAGAAATACTCTATACAGTAACTTAAATTAATTTAACTGATATTAAATCAATTGGTTTTTTTTCTTAAATTTATTTAAAATTAATATCATTTAATATCACTCCTGTAGAATCAGCCCTTACTGGAAGGATGCTGCAATTTTTTCCAACAAATCACAAACAAAGAGGACCTTATATAGACAAACTAGAAAAACAGTCTCAAATGAAAATGTTAAATCAAAAAAGGATAGAATGTTTTTGCTTCACAGTAACTTTACAATAACAGCCTTGGACATTGCATATTTTGTTGATTTTTGAAGTGGAAAAAACACAAACACAACCTCTACAGCAAACTATTTAAAAATATATTGCTAATTCAAAGTTA